GGAACTGGTTTTTGGCCCGATCATTTAGGAATTCCCGGATATGACCCTTGTTGAGTAGTCTAGCTACTTCCTCTCGGAGCTGGTGGCAATCCTCGGTCCTGTGGCCATGTGTGTTATGAAATTCACACATTAAGTTATGAATCCTTTGCGAAGGATCTGATTGTACAGGCCTTGGCCATCTGGCATCTCTGATTTTGCTAATGGCGAACACTATGTCTGACACATCGACGTTGAAGTTGTATTCTGATAAACGAGGTGCCTCTGCTGGCCCCACGTTCCTATCGAACCTGGCTCTATTGATCAGTCCCCGAGGATTCTGTCCTCGGTCTATCCCACGATAATTGCAAGGTGGGTTACGCCTCGGGGCATTCCTTTTGTCTTCGGTGTATGGATGATACCTTTCTTTGTTTGGCTTTGGCTCCTTCACCAGGAGCCTGCTCGGGTATACTGAGCCTGAGGGGGCTCCTAGCTTGTCATCTTCGACCCTGATTTTTGACTGGTATCGGTTGTGGACGTCCGACCAGGTCACTGCGGGATATTCGACCAGATTCTCTTTCAGCTGCTTCGAAGCTACCGAGCTTCGCTCATTCAGACCTTGAGTGAAGGCCTGTACCGTCCAGTCGTCAGAGATCGGTGGTAGTTCCATTCTTTCCATTTGAAAGCGAGATACAAATTCTCGCAGCATCTCGTTCTCCCTTTGCTTGATTTTGAAGACGTCGGATTTCCTGGTGGCCACCTTGATGGCCCCGGCATGCGCCTTTATGAAGGAATCTGCCATCATGGCAAATGAGTCTATAGAGTTTGGGGCCAAGTTATGATACCACATCATTGCCCCTTTAGAAAGTGTTTCTCCAAATTTTTTCAGCAGGACAGAATCGATCTCGTCGTCCTTCAGGTCGGATCCCTTTACTGCACAGGTGTAAGCAGTAACGTGCTCATTGGGGTCCGAGGTACCGTTGTATTTCGAAAGTTCCGGCAGTCTGAACTTCTTTGGAATGGGTTTCGGGGCCGCTTCCCGTGGGAACGGCTTCTGCACGAACTTCTTTGAGTCCACACCTTTCAAGATCGGGGGAGCTCCTGGAATTTGGTCGACCCTGGAGTTGTAAGTCTCGACCTTCTTATCGTTGGCTTCTACCATTTTCTCGCCTGATTCGATCCTTCTGGTGAGGTCCGAGACGAAAGTATAGTGGTTACCGTGAAAATGGTAATAACAATTAAATTTGTTGATGGGACTATAAAAATACGTGATCTATTTTTATGCTAGTTATTATACAGTTGATGCTACGTGTGTGAGACTTAGATGCTAAATAAGAGTTAGAGATAAGATCATAATCAAACCGAAAGGCTAACAATCGGGGCCTTGAGGGCGGTTCCGCGGCTCGACAGTGAGCTATCGGGGTGACAGGAGTATGACTAACAGTTATAATAAAATTTATGAAGGCTCTTTATGGCCAATGATAAGCAATAAATGATGAACAATGATGAAGATAATAAATGAGATCAATAATATGAAGAGAGTATGTTAGAAAGTAGAGAGAATGTTCTTGTATATTCGTGTGGAGTGAACCGAAGCAACAGGGGTTTTCAAAATGACAAGGATCCCCTTTATATATGAGGGGAATCCCAACATAGTACAAAATGCATTAATTACAAAGATATGGAGATGGGACAACTAGATGACATCATGATTCGGATTTAGAGTAGACCAGCAGGCTCTGTGAGTCCTAGCCATGTGCCTTGGGAACTTCCCATGTCTACCATTACCATGATTATTGTTACCATGAGGTCGAGTATCGACAACCCTCGAGGGAGGATACTCGGCCGTGGCCTCAAGCCTTCAAGGTGATCTTCCGAAGTGCCTTAATGACGAGAAATTGGACCCTCCGATTTCACCGTATACATATAGGATGAAATAACAGAGCATGGTTTTAGATCTAGTGAGGTTATAATGATTTCCAAGTCTATTTAAAGGAATGGGGGAAGGGGTTTATATAGTGGTAGAGACTAAGACATAAATATGGACAATCATTAGTCAAACACTAGAAAGGAAATCAATCGAAATCAGTAAGGAAAAGAGGAAATTCGAGAACACTAATTTTAGGAACAGCACACAAATTGACGGAAATAATAAAAAATCGCATGCTGCATAGAATAAGATGAACATAGACGAAAATCTATTCAAAATCAAACAATCAAGTCAGATTTGGTTTGATTTAGAAAGGATCAAATCTACACATAATAGAGCGAATATAGACAAGATAATACTTAAAATAAAAGGCTTGAACCAACTTTGGTTCGAATAAAAGAAAATATAAAAACCCTAGTTTTAGGGTAAGTAAGAATCTCAAAGATACACAGAGATTCATAGAGATTTATACCATAAAAAAGAACAAGAAAGAACATAGATGGACATGGTCAAAGAACTGAACCAGATTTGGTTCGATTTCTAAGAGATTTGCCCGCCATGTTTAGGTAAGCAAACTAGGTAACACCATAGACGAACCAGTAGTGAGGGGAGGCAAATATGGCAAGAGAATCCATGGTGGATTCCATTTTAGGGCCGGATTTGGAGGGGTTAAGAGAGACAGTGGCTAGGGTTCATGAGAGACAAGAGAGTTCTAGGGCAACGGGGGTATAGAATTATTAGGGTTAGGGGTTTGGTTGGTTTAAAGGGGCAGGTCTAACGTGGACCGTTGATCTTAGAGATCAACGGTCATGATTTAAAGGATTCTGGGTCGGGTGTTTATGTGGGCATGGGGATTGGGCTAATGGGTCATAGGCCAAGGGTATTGGGCTGGTGTAAGGGTGTTGGGTTAAATTCGAAAATAGGGGATTTTAGGGCTAGATTTTAAATACTCACTATTTAATGAATAAATAATTTTTAAAAGCAACTAATAAATAATAAAAATGTCATTTGAGCACGAAAATAATTTAAAATAATTTCTTAACATTATTAAAATATAGAAAGTCATTTTCTGTATAAATAATATAATTATACATGCATATGGGCTATTATTGTAAAATTTACAATTTAGCCTAAAAAATATAAACGTAATTAGAAAAAATGCACTAAAAGTATTTAAACATTTGCTGGAATAAATGATATGTTGAGACGGTTAAATCATCATAAAATAGTTTGGAGGATAATTATTTGATATTTATATATAATAAAATGCAGGAATAAATTGGTTTGAAGCCTTTAAAAATTATGTAAAATTATGAAAAATATTTTTGTATGCTTATAAATCAAATGATGATGCATATGCACTATTTTGGAAGTATATGTATATATATTTAAAATTTGAGGAAAAGATTGAGTATCAACAATGTTGACCTCGATCTTGGAAAGAAACTTCGACCCCGGACTCGACGTTCTGGCCTTTCCACGTGATATCTTTTTCTCCATGAAGGACAAAATCGGGTAGCCCCGATTTCCACCGTATACCGCTAATATTTTAATTGATTCAGAATCGGCCTTCTAATTTGATAAATCCTTTGTGATTTCATCCAAGCGATCCAGTGATTTCATCCAAGCGATCCATTTGATAAACCCTTTCCACGTGCCAGTTGTTGTTGGATCTAGTCTCCTATTAGTCCCTTCTCTGATACTAAGTTGTTACAGTCTCTTGTTACGGACCTAGTTATGGAACGACGCAAGACTAAATTAGAGTTAATATGGAGTAAATCAGGAGTTTGGGAAGAGGTTTTCTTTTGTGACATATGGTGCTGGTTGGTTAAGAGAGAAGTTGCAATCTCTTGGGTTAAAGTACTCAAAGACTGGAATAATATTTTGCATACGTTTTACTGAATTCAAATAATTTTAAATAGAAATATTAATGGATTAACCACCCACCAAACAATTGGGAAATATTTTCCTAACACAAGTGTAATGAGAAAGTGGCCTACTACTAATAACTGCTACTATTAAAAACTGCTACATGAAATATGAACATAACTAATAGATGCCTAAAGTTGATGAACTCATCTACTTCCTAATCTTCTACAACTTTCGATGTCTACGTTGTTCGCAGACTAAAGTGGTGCTAACAAACATACTTTTATTGATGGTGAAGTGGTAAGGGACTTGTGGAACTCTTTTGCACTTCTCTGAGCAATAAGTAGGAAATGCTCCCTATCAAAGTTATGTTCATAAGATGGTGGTCAATTAAATCAAAAAATATTATTAATCAAGAGATTTTGATAATTACTCCCATAGTCATTTGTTGGGAAATTTGAAGGCAAGATGTGCCTCGAGTATGAAAATACTAGAACCTCAAGGACTACATTAAAGCACCAGTTTCTAATCTATTTAACTAGTCCATATCAAAGCACCATTGCAGTAGAAATGGCCATGGCACTGATTTGGAATATATATATATGACCAGATATTATCTCTTTCCCATAGGATTAAATGCTCGATTTTTAAATGGTAAAACCTCTATCCAACTGGGTGAACATCAATTACGGTGGTAGTCGAAATGGGAAATGAAATTATAGGGGCTGGAGGCATTATCAGGGATCCTATTAGTAACCTAGTTTTGCATATAATCTGGAAAGGAGTAGTAGCATGCAATTTGGCATAGTCTAAGGTAGAATGGCAAGGGGTGAAGTAGTGTATTTCATATGGTTACCAGAACATCCTCCTTGAATGTGACTTTATGTTATGATTAGAGAGAGAATGAGCGACCTCTCACTACAACAACACCCCAGTACTCACAACTACATTCCTCCTAAACCACCGGATAAACTCAATCCCCAACCCCCAAACATACTGTCCCATAAGGAGATTCTGCTACAGGATGAGTTCTTCATCAACAACAACATTACTCCACCAGTTGAAGATATCCCAACACAACCCATGGACATCCAACAAATAGATTTGGATGCCACGAACTCAGGGATGCTATCAAACAAATTGAAGCAAATAATCCTGACTGAGGAGGATATTAAACGTATGTACAGCCCTGGAAATTCTCAGTCATCATAAAGCTAATAGGTGAATGACTGGTGCATCACTACCTAAAAAAAAACTCCAAGACATATGGAAAATTACTGAGAAATTTCCTCTCATCGATCTTGGGAAAGATTATTACACTGTCAAACTAGCCAGGGAAGAAAATATGACAAAAATACTGCATAATGGACCCTGGTTCATCAATGAATTCTTTCTTTCCATCCAAAAATGGGTGCCAAATTTTGTAGCCAAAGAAGCTCACCAAAACTTTACAGCTGTGTGGGTTTGTCTTCCCCAATTACCCACGGAATTTTACGATGGAATTATACTATCAAGAATTGGCAATTGCATCGGAAAATTGCTCAAAGTAGATGCATGCACCTCAGCCACGTTAAGAGGGAGATATGCTAGACTGTGTGTGGAGTTGCCTCTTGACCAACCAATACAAAACTACATTCTAATTGGCCAGCATAAACAACCTATTCAATATGAAGTTGATGATATCCTATGTAAAACATGTGGTAAGCTGGGACACATAAGCCTCTGTTGCACACAAGTCACCTTACCAACTGAAGCAAAGGGAGGCCAATCAGATATTGAGCCACCACTGTGCAAAACCGAGCAAGCAGGGGAACGGATGACAGTTTCATTCCCTAGGAAAGGCAAAGCTAAGGTAGCCAATCAGCAAATGGATAAGGCTAGTGCAAACATATCCCCAGGTATAAATGTTCGAATGTATGATGTTGTGTCAGGTAAGTATCTCAATACTCAGCCATTAAGTTATATTAACAAATAGATTTTAACAAATTACTCCAATCTGATCTTAATAATGAACAAAATTTTGCTAACAAAAATCAAGTTGCTAAACAGAATGATGAAGGTGAAAGCAGTCAAGCTAAACTAGTGAAACAACACAAGGTTTTGGGAAAAGAGGAAAACAATAAAAAAAATCAAAAAACAAAGATTTTGCATGAAGAACAAGCTGTCCTCCTTACAAATGTCACAGACGTGGCACCAAGTCCAGGCATGATTAATGAACAAAATCTTTTGCTTAATACAATGGAATTGGATATCACCCACACAACCACCAATCCGGTAAGCAACGAAGTAATCAATTACTCTACTAATACTAATTACAAAACTAATAATAATAATAATAATCCTACTCAGCATGCATGTCCCAACACTCATGACCAATCCCCCCTAAAACACTTGGAACATAAAAGCAGACAAGTGGCGGAGGATATATCCATGCAGGATTTTGATAAATACCTCACGCAACAGTCTGCCCAAGCTACACAAATAGAGGCAATAATTAACAACCCCCCCCCCCCCAATCACCTTACTATTACTCCTCATATAAACACACAAGCTTACCAAAATGGCAAGACCTCCACTAACACTAAGGAGAAGATATCGATTGATACAACCGATTCATCTCTCTCGAAATCAAACCATGAACAATCTACCAAAACTCGCACCTCAATTCCCATCAAATTCGGTGATCTATGCTCAGCCACCAAGCCCACCCAACCACATACCACAATCGTGGGTGGAACTGGGGCTTCAAGGCCATGCAGTATCTTTCAACATGGAGATAAATGGGCAGGAATCCATCCTCATAATTCAAAACACTCACTTCCTAGCCCAGTTGATCTCAGAGGGGATGAGCTTAGCCGTGAACAATTATGTAAACCAAATGTGGATGAACAACGTTCTTCAACCCCTAGCCTATCAATGAATCAAAACCTAGTAAATAACATGCAACAAATGTGGAATATTTCACACAACCCCAACCAGCAGATGCTCCAAAACCCACCTCTGAATCTTCCATTCTTTGCTCTGGAGGATCTAATGCTCCTAAACCAGTGTTCACACAATGGACTGCCCTGGAAATGCACAACAAACAACACGACCCACAACCAGATCCAATGGATGAGCAAGTACCAGCACAAAACATGCCAAACCAACAAGGGATACAGGAGGAAGGATAGGAGGTGGAAAGTATGGGGGTAGAAATATAAACCAAAAACGAGCAAGCTCCTTAATAGATTGCCTAAACTATTGTAACCTAGTTGATTTGGGTTTTACAGGGTGTAAATACACCTGGTCAAACCATTGTAGGAGAAGAAAGGGTCTAATAATGGAAAGGCTGGATAGGATTTACTCAAATGATAACTGGTTACAAGCCTATGTCAACGTAACCATAACTCACCTTCCAAAAATTCATTCTGATCATAATCCTATACTTGTTAACCTCAACAATAGAATAAATTCCAATAAGGACAGACCTTTTAGAATAGAGACATATTGGTGCTCACATCCAGATTTCAGCCGGCTTGTTTCTACTAGCGGAGAAAATAAGGACCTAATGGGAGGTACTGAGTCCTTCCAAAAAAATGTGTTAGATTGGAAAAATATGACCTTTGGAAATATTTTTGCAACGAAAAGAAAACTCCAAAAAAGAATTGGTGGGATTCAAAAATCGACTAATTATCCAACCAGTTATTTCCTTAAACACTTAGAAACAAGTCTAATTGAGGAGTATAATACAATTCTTAAGCTGGAAGAAGACTACTGAAAAATTCGGTCTAGAGTAAATTGGTTAAACGAAGGGGATGCTAATACTAAGTTTTTTCATATAATGGCAACTAATAGGAGGATAAGAAACAATATTTTGTTCTTTAAAGACGACTCAGGAAATTGGATTGAAGACCAATCCTCCATAATTACCCATGTAACACAACACTCCTCTAACATTTTTACAACATCCCATGATAGGTCTGATTGGAATTTCATTAAAAATGATGCTGCCAATTTCTCTCCAATTGATCTCTCAACCCTAGACAGGCCTTTAACAAATCAAGAAATTAGAAAAGCCGTATTTTCTTTCAATCCCTATAAAGCACCAGGTCCTGATGGATTACACCCATTCTTCGTCCAGAGATTTTAGCACATATTAGGAAGCAAGGTAATCAATCTATGCCAAAACATTTTTAAAACGTCAACAATTCCCTATGAGGTAAACAAGACATACCTCTGCCTGATTCCAAAAATAAAAAATGCTAATACCCTGAAGAACTTTAGACCAATAAGTCTTTGTAACATGATTTATAAGGTGATCACTAAAGTGATTGCCAACAGAATCAAGCCTTTTCTTAACCAATTGATCAATATTGATCAAGCTAGCTTTATAAAGGGTAGGAGAGCTAGTGACAATGCTATCATCATCCAAGAAGTTTGAAAGAAATTTAATTTAGCCAAAGGAAAGGAAAATTTCGTACTAAAGCTTGATTTGGAAAAAGCTTTCGATAAATTGGAATGGTCTTACTCTATCGAACTCTTAGCTTTTTTAAATTTCCTAGGAAAATTAGTGACCTTATCCTTAGTTGTATTACTACAAGTACAATTTTCATTTTAGTCAATGGTAACAAAACTAAGGAATTCACTCCCACACGGGGCATTAGACAAGGGGATCCCATGTCACCCTACATATTCATACTTTGTATGGATATGCTTTCTGAAAAAATTAACCACCAAGTAGATACAAGGAAATGGGTGCCTATAAAACTTAATCCTAGGACGTCACCCCTATCTCATTTGTTTTTTGCAGATGATTTTTCTCTTATGGGTGAAGCCAAGCAGAAAACTTTTAATACAATTAGCAGATGCATGGAGGAATTTAGTTATGTGTCCGGCCTAAGCATCAACAAAGGCAAATCTAAATTGGTCATGTCTAGGAGTTGTAATAAACACACGAAGGACATGGCTACTCACACTTTTGGGATTACCATTAGCAACACTTTTGGTAATTATTTAGGGTTTCCAATGTTAAATAACTACCCTAGGCATAAGGATTACCAACCATTACTTGACAAAATGCGTGCTAGATTAAACAATTGGAATGCAAAGTGGCTTAGCATGGCGGGGTGGTGCACGTTAATAACATCTACTTTAAATACGCAGCCAAACCACCTAATGCAAATAAGTCTCCTTCCAACAGAAACACTTCAAGAAATAGACAAGATCCAGAGAGACTTCCTATGGGGAAGTACGAGGGATAAAAGGAGATTCCACCTAATGAGCTGGAATACAGTCACAGACACTAAGCTTAATGGAGGTTTGGCCATCAAGAAAGCTAAATTAAAAAACCTAGCACTCCTAACAAGATTAGCATGGAGGATCATTACTAGTACAAACTCCTTATGGGCTCAAATACTCATTAGCGTTTATGGGAAGAGAAAGAGAATAAATGGCTCCTCAATCACTTGGAAAAGCCTCCTAACGGGTTGGACTATATGCCATACGGGCATTAGGTGGCCAGTAGATAGACATTCCCAGATGAATATTTGGGACTCCAATTGGATTCCAAATATTGAAAGTCTTCGTAATATTATTTCGGGGCCGTTAAGTAAAAATGAGGACAAGTTAACCATTAAAGATATTTGGGATAACAAAGGTTGGGATTTAGAAAAAATTTCTTTTAATCTCCCTCAAATAGTCACAAACAGTATAAAAGCCCTAGATCGAGATTGCCAAAGCAACCACCCAAACAATCTCATTTGGAGTCTTAACCCAAGTGGTATATTCACAACTTCCTCTTCCTAAAACCAAGTTGATGACCAAAAACCCCACACACACACCTTTATGTGGATCTGGGAGTTACATTGCTCTAACAAGATTAAGTTTTTCATTTGGAAACTCTACCATAAAAGACTCCCAACAAGAGGCTACCTTGCTAAAATTGATATTAATATTGATCCAACATGCCCAATATGTAAGGCTAACAATGAATCTATATATCACATCTTCTGGGAATGCCACATAGCTCAGAATTTCTGGCAAACCCTAGGAGTGTCTATTAACAATAATGGGCTGACTAACAACTTGCTAGAGTTACTACGAGACACAACTCCAAAGAATTCTTTTACTCATGTAATTTGAAAAGATGTACTACCATTTGCTCTTTGGGGCATTTGGAACAACAGAAACCATAATAACATCAACAACAAAAAATCTCACATACTTGCTAATAAGATTATTGATCAAACAATTGAATACACCCTTCTCACAAGCAAGATCACTACTTACATCAAATTCATAATAGTTGATGTCAAATGGGAACGGCTACCAAAAGGTTGGTTTAAGGTTAATATAGATGGTGCATTCAAAAGCAACTACCTGGAACGGGGCATCAGTGGAGTAGTTCGTGACTACAAAGGGAAATGGAAGACAGGGTTTTAAAAGAAAATTCAAGCAACATCACCAATACAAACTGAACTCCAAGCTTTTTGGCATGCAATTCAAATTATTATCAGGGAACTCACATTCCCAGTTGAAGTAGAAACTGATGCCACAGAGGTCATACGCCTCATAAGTGAAGATTACCCTACTAATAATAACTTAATTATGAATGCAGGTTGTTAATGGAGGAGGCATCCAGGCAGGGGACAATCACATTGAAGCATAGCTTCCGCGAAGGGAATATGGTGGCTCATCTTTTGGCAAAAGCAGCACTAATACAAAGTAGCTAGAATAAATTATGTACTTTTGTTTTGCCATCTGAACTTATTATAGATGTATATGACAAGGATCAGGGTGGGTATGTTTATGCTAGAAACTGTTCTAGTGACCAATGTGGTCGTATGGCTGCTCTAGGAAATGATTGTGCCTTAAAAGGCATAATATTAGGTTATGACGGCATATGTACTAATGACAATGTTATCGGGCATTAGCCCTACCTATGTTATGATATAATATAAGTACCTTTTTCTATCAAAAAAGAATGTGACTTTATGGTTGTGGTCAAAATGGTCAAAGGGACTAAAAAGTTAGCATGGCAAATAAGGGATATTATTTTTGGACACTAGACAGTTACTCCATCAAGTTAGCTTTGTGATCCAACATTACTCACGTTAATTTAATCAAGTTAGCTTTATGGTTGAGGAGAATGATCATATTTTCTTTACTCCAATGGAATTACCTAGGAGTGCAGCTGGTTCCTATTAGATGGACAAGGCCAAAATGGCATCAACAAGACACAACAACAAGCTGTATATACACACAGTTTTAAGTGAATTAGTCCTCAGAGGTTGTTAATCGCCATCTCGGTTGTAGGCTTGCGATTGCGGAGTGGAGTTTTAGGTAGGCTGGTTTTACACTTCGTGGTCGCGTAAGATGCGTCGCGTTAGCAAAGCTCTGAGAGGTTGTGATCTGCATTCGCGCCCAGGTTTCGCATTCGCGGAGACATGTGGCTGGGTTGGATTAAGTCCTATGTGATTACATAGCAATGTTGGTCTTGTGATTGCTATGCATGTGCCTGAGCAGATTATCTAAGTACTCTATTTCCAGGGTTTTGGTAATTTTATCACATTTTGAGATATTGAGCTCGGATTTGGGTGATTTTGGAGGGAATTTTCACGATTTTGATTACGGTAAGTATTTATTTTTTACTCGGATTTGTTCATTATGCATGATTCCAACCTTGATTTTTGAAATGTATTGATGAATCTATTTAGTAAAAGCTTTTCTAAAGTAAAAAACTGATTTGATATCGGATTTGGATGGAATATATATATTTGGACTCGTATTGGATTGGGTGTTCGAATTATATGAGTTTTGTCGAGTATCGAGGTGCGGGCCTATGGTTGATTTTTTGGGTTGAGTTTGTATAGTTGATTCAAGATCCTAGATTTATATGGTGTTGTTTCCTGTGCCTTTTGTTGATGATATTAAGTTATTTTGGCTAGATTCGAGTCGTCTGGAGGTTGATTCACGCGGCAAGAGCTTCTTAGAGTACTGAATTAGTTTGCTTGAGGTAAGTATCTTACCTAAACAGGGTTGAGCCCTTGTGCATGCACCGGTGTATTTTCATGCTCATGGTAGTGTTTAGGCCATGATATACCTTGGTTCATTGCTAAACTTCATGTTGTAATTGTTCTTATGTTTATACCCTTGTTTTGAGCTATTTGAGCCATGTTGAGATCACATAGAGGTTAATCCCCTGATTGAACTTGATAGTTGCTACTTTAATGATGTATATGCCTGATTTGTCCTATGATAGTACACTTTACACATGCGTACACCTTAGTATGTCACTTATATCAGTCAAGAAGTATGAAATTTAATGGTCATTGATTATGCATATATATTGATTTATATCTTCTTTATGTTCGATACACATCGGACTAGTAGCACGTGATCACGCCATGCGTATTGTGATATTAAGCACGTGACTACACCTTACATATCGTGATATAGAGCACGTGACTATACCGTGCACATTATAATATTAAGCATGTGACCACGCCGGGCATATTGTAATTATGAGCAAGTTACCACGCCGTGCGGATCTGAGATATTTATATTTATGGCACGTGACGTTATGCGGCTGATATTTATCGCATGTGACTACGCCGTGCAGTGTGTGGATATGGATCCATCCCCCTAGGGTCACCCTCTCATGTGACTTCTTAATGGTGTACACACGGTTTGAGAAAAGTTGATCAATGGTTTGGTTCGGTTATGGAAATTCTAAGGAAAAAGCTGGTCAGTGTTTGATTTATGTTATTGCATTTTGTCTTTTCTTGCAATCTTCATGATTGTGTACCTGATGTATCTGTGTATCTTCTTTATATGCTGGATTTTTTACTGAGTTTCTGTGCACCAAGGTGGTTCTTTTTTTGATTCATGACTTGATATATTATTGTTCTGTACTTGTTGGATTTATGAACTGTATAGGCAACTAGCGAGTATCATTTATAATTCTTACTTCTATTTTGTCACCGAGGTTAGTTTTGATACTCGTTAAAAACAAGCAACCCACTCTGAACATAATTGTGCAGATCGAGGTGTTGGACCGAGCCAGCAGAAGAAGAGGCTTGTTGCTGAGTTATCCTCGGAGAGACATGGTGAGCTGCATCCCGACTGCAGTTTTGGTGTCTCTTTTCATTTTGTACTGTTGTCTTTCATACATACACTATTGTTAGGGCATTTTAGACTTGTATTTCTATTTTAGAGCTCATGACTCTGTATTTACTAGTTAATTGGACATTTATTATGTATCGACGCTATGACGCTATGTTGATGGCTTTAGACTTGTATTTTTTCGCCATTTCTGTTATTTATAATTCATTATAGGTATGTTCTGTCATGACATATTGGTGGTTTTGGATCGTGACATTATTCTTGAAGATATTACTCTGTCATCTAACATGATACCAAAAGTACTTTATCTAGGACTCCCTCCTTTACAATTCATGTGGCAATATTTTACTAGGCACATAGTTTAAATAAAAGGAAGATTTTGAAAGTTGTGGTCTAAAAAGATATATTGTGCAGCTGTAAATTATTTCATTAAGAGTAAGCTAGAAACTTTAAACACATACTATTTTAAACTAAGAAAAGAACATTGTTTTTGGGCTGACTAAAAAGGAAAGAGTGTCATATTAAAAAGTTAGTTTATTATATGCAGTGGCCTACAAACTCCAAATCTCCATCTCATAACACCAGATTCTAAAATTCCACAAATTATAAAAAAATAAAAAAGGTCCATCTCTTAATTGAACATCTGCTGCTACCAGCCTGCCACACGGTAAGAGAGAAAAAGAAACACATTGTTTACCCTTAAAATGAATAACAATTAAACTTACACGCAGTTTTAAGGATATGTGGACTAGTTCAATACAAGTGATCAATAAAGTTAAATAAGTGAATTGAAGATAGAATAAATAACCTAACCAGTTGTGATGTTAGATCCGAGCTCGGGTCTGAGCTTAGTGACTGTTCTACCCTCGATTCGAAGCCAAATATTTATGAAGAACTATGAGGAAAACTAAGAACTTTGAATTAATTTTAGGAGTAGAGAAAACAAGTGTATATTGCCTTGATATGTGTGCTACAGTGTACCTATTGAAAAATAAACTTCCCCTTTATATAAGGGAGTTTTACCCTAAGTACGATTCTAAGAAAGATAAAAATCTTCTTTTTCGTTAATCACTGATTTGCTATCGATACGGGTCGAGATCAACGCCGTAATATCTAATTGGTCGCGGGTATCATGGCCCTTCGTTAGTCGTGTACAACTGTTTGGTTTTTCCTTCCGAGGTGTTGGAGCCCAAACTGGATTCGGGGGGCATTGTCTCGATGGCCCCGGTGGTAGGCGCTTCGTTCGGGCCTTAGTACGAGAGGTTCCCGGCTTCGATCCCGATTCCGTGTAGTTATGTCCTTGCTTTGTTTGCCCCACCGGGAAATTGAGGTGCTCACTACTGTATACAGATTGTCCCCTCATCTTTCAGATAGGTGGTTTACCAAAATAATAAGAAACAATAGATATACCCTGGTTCCTTCCTTCATAGGTCACGACCGAAATGATGAAGAAGTCGGGACGTCCCATCAGTCGTGTCGTTCTGACTTCGGACACATGTCCACCATCGGATGGTTGTCTTGGAATGCGAAGCGTTGCGTACTTCCCATTAAAAGCTTATATCCTCTGTTCCTTTTCCACTTTCTTATATAGCTTCCATCTCCGAATTTTCTAGCTATCACCAACTTCTTTCAAACATTCATATCTTCATCTTTAATCTTCAAATTCTCATAGTTGTTCTTAGGTCCTTACCAGATTTTCTTCAAATCTTCATACTCTGCATTTTAGCCTTAACCCTTGTTCCTTAAAACCTTCTGTATACGGAGAAATCGGAGGGTCCAATTTCTCGTCATTTAAGGCATTTTAGGAGATCGTCTCGAAGCCTCGAGGCTACAAGGCTATGGCCGAGTCCCCTCCCCCAGAGTTCGTCGACACCCGACCTAGGGACAACAGTGACCACGACCATGATAGGGAAGGGGAGTTCCCAAGGCACACAACTAAGACTGACAGAGCCTAGCCGTTCTACTCCGAACCCAAATCAGGGTGTCATGTCCGGTTGTCCCATCCCACATCTTTACAATTAATGCATTTTGTACTATGAAGGCACTCCCCTCCTATATAAAGGGGATCCTTGTTATTTTGTAAGCTTCTGTTGCTCCCATTACTCCACACGAAATATAGAAGAACATTCTCCTTTCTCACTCTAACATATTCTCTTAATATTATTGCTCTCATTTATTGTATTCATACTTGTTCTTCATTTACTACTTATCATTGACTATAAAGAGCCTTCGCTAATTGTTTTATAACTGTTAGCCCCTCCCCGATTATCCTTAATAGCTCGAACCCGAGCCCTGGAATCGACCTCGAGGCCCCGTATCTGTCACACCCCATATTCGAGGGACATGACCGGCGCTCGACCGGGTAGCCCCAATCAAGCGGACCTGGGTGCCTTTCCTATCCCACATGTTACCCCGCATTCTTTCATTACTTATTGGCCAAAAGAAATAACCATTTATAATTAAAAACACCTTTTTATTACAAAGCATACACACGGTACATGATTTCTTAGCTTGGTTTACATTTTACATAGCCCAACATACAAG